GGTCCGCCAGTGGCTGGTGCTCGTGGGGAGCTGATTTTTAAGCTATGTCCCTACAAGCACCAGCTCCTGCCTGCCCCCCTCCCTATGCTACTGCTGCTGTGAGAGGCAGCAAAGGGGAGGGCAAGCGACTCCCTGTGGGAGCTAGCTCCTGATGCATATCTGCTCCAGCCTGACCTCCCTCACCCCATACTGCTGCCACTTCTCGGCTGACAGAGGGGCAGCAGTGTGGAGGGTGAGGTGGGCTGGCAGCTAGCCCCCCATAGGCCCCAGTTCTTGCCTCCCCTGTTCCTGCCTCCAACATAGAGGCAGCAAGGGGGGGGGGGGGGTAGCCATTAGGACTAACTGGTAAACCCAGGCTTAACAGTTGATTGTGTACATGACTACACGCTAACATCTAGATTGTAAACCCAAATGGTGCATCATTTACAACATTTGCATGCAAACAGAGACAATTCAGGAAAGAATAACAGTTCCTACCATTAGTTCAGGAGGAAAGATAAACTCCTGGGTTGGGTCTACAGGTTGGAATTTTTCAGGATTGCAGAGATCAGAATGCGTCTGAAATGAAACAAAGCTTCATTTTAATATTTTCTTGAAGGAGAAAAAAATAGAAGGTGTGTCAAGAGTATGTTGCACTAGTCTGGAAAGAGCAGTGTCTGTGGTTACATGCCACTTAGTTTTGTAAATATGACAGCTGCCCTCTTCTGCCATCTTCACAACATATTAAATAATTCAAGCACATTCTTCAGTTAAACTCTTAATATAAGAATTAAACAACAATTAAACACAACTCTTTGTGGAGAAAGTTCAGCAGAGGGCAATGAAAATAATTAGGGGGCTGGAGCACATGACTTACGAGGAGATGCTGAGGGATTTGGACTTGTTTAATCTACAGAAGAGTGAGGGGGAATTTGATAGCAGCCTTCAACTACCTGAAGGAGGGTTCCAAAGAGGATGGAGAGAGTCAGTTCTCAATGGTGATAGATGACAGAAAGAGGAGCAATGGTCTCAAGTTACAGTGAGGGGAGGTCTAGGTTGGATATTAGGAAAAACGATTTTACCAGGATGGTGGTGAAGCACTGGAATGGGTTATGTAGGGAGGTGGTGGAATCTCCATCCCTAGAGGTTACCTAGGGAGGTGGTGGAATCCTTATCTTACAAGAATTTTAAGTCCTGACTTGAGAAAGCCCTGGCTGGGATGATTTAGTGGAGGTTCATAGAATCATAGGGTTTGAAGAGACCTCAGTAGGTCATCACATCCAGCCTCCTGCTCAAAGCAGAACCAACCCTAACTAAATCATTCCAGCTAGGTATGGAGATTCTAGGTTAGTCCTGGTTTGGGCAGGGTGTTGGGCTCAAAGACCTCCTGAAGTCTCTTCTAGCCCTATGATTTTATTATTCTAAATAAAGTACAGTTTTCACAGCACTTTGAGCGTCCCTGTTGAAAAGAACGAGGTATCGTCATTGCACAGCAGAGCTATGTTTTTCACAAGCAGCATGGCTCAATATCATGAGGTTTGCGTTCACAATGCAGCACCCACAATGAACTTTTGCTATTGGAATCTATACGGCTGGGTTGGGTTTGACAAGTCTGAATAGAACTGCTTTGGTCACGTTCAATGTCCTCCCCTCATTTGTTACATCATTCTTTTGTTTTGTTTTTTCAGGATAGGTTTGAAAATTACAGGTTCTTAATTTCCTGGAGTAATTTTTCTTCTAATGTAGTTTCT